CGGCGGCTGAGTGTAATGATGGCCTTGATCTCTCAAATCTCTAAACATGGAGAAGAAGGAAACAATCCCATCTGATGAAGCGCCTCCTAGAATTCTAAGGAGGAAAGAGCTCAAAGGGTTTAGAGATCCAGAATTGGGAGTAGCAGCTGCTGCTGCTTCAGTTTGTTGTTGAGGTGTTAATCCAGTGAAATGGAGGGGATCTCCTGTAGCTGAAACTGGACTCTCCCTTGTTACTTGATCTTGAGCTCTAGAAGCTTCTGTAATGCCATCAGGCTCAGCTTGGGTGGGCCTTGTGCGCATATCAGGCCCAACTCCGAGATCGACATTGGCCATGTTTGGATTTCGAACATTTACTCTAGCTATATGCAGTGTTGATGTGTATATGGTTGAAGATGTGATCTGAACACTTGATTGTTGCTGAAACTGAGCTCGTGTCCTCAAGAATCTCTGTAGGGCTGGAACCTGAGAAATCATGGCCACAATCAGATTAACATGAGATGATGAAACAAGTAACCAGCATATTCTCGAGTCTCTTTCAAGGTGATGCAGAAAGAAAAAGATGGAGAAATAATGTATCTCATGCTTTTGTGAATTTTCGCACCAGCTAGCTCTGACCTTAAGACACTAGTGGGTAGTTCAGCCAAAAACAAATAAACAATAAAAATAACTCCTGAGGTTTGCAGAGGCCATTCAAGGAAAAATACAAAAAAAAATAATTAACCCAGGTAGACTATCAAATCTTGCCCCAACCACAACAATCACGAAAAAAAAAGGCAAGGGGGAAAGAGAAAACCTTTGTGAAATGGGTTCATAGAAGCCACCCCAAAGAATGCTCATGTAAATTCAATCATCCTGATATTTGGGGCCTTCCTTAGGGGCATTACAATGTCATGTCATACCCCAATTTCAAAAAAAATTATAACATTTTTTTTTATTCACCAAAAGAAAAGAAAACAAATAATATATAAATCAAGTTCAAACATAAATCGGGTAGTTGTCTGGATTTTATGCAACTATAAGATGTGACAGATCCCAGAAACATGATACAAAAGTAAGCACGAATAA